GGCGATCTGACCAACTAGTTCGAATAGCGGTCATTATAATATTTTTGTGTAAAATAAAAAAAAATTAATGTTATGGAGTATTTTTTTACGTCCAGAAAATATGAATCGGAAAAGTTGTTTGCCTGTAATCGATCACAAGAAATATTGTCCAGGCTCGGAATATTGATACCCAGAGAATTACAGTTCTGGGGTAGTTGTGCAGGGTATCATATGGTCGACCTCGTCCGACTATACTACTCTGCTCACTACTTTCTTTTGTGATTCCTGTCCTTTGCCGCCCTCAGTCGATGGATTCTTGTGGCAGTCCCCTTTAACTTTGGGTTGGCTCAGCTTTTGTATCAGACGACGGGATCTTTTTTTCGAGGAAGTGGAAACAAGGTTCCCGTTGACTTATCTTTCTGGGCATTCTTCTTCAGTTTGCGTTTCTTTCTCTGGTTTAACCTAATCAGTTCGAGTATCTGGGCCCCAATCAGTTATTTTTTCTTGACATAAGAACGATAATATCCTTGCTCAAATGATGTTTGGTATGGGATATATCGGTTCTGTTTTTATGGTAGTCTAATATATCGGTTTAATATATCGGTATGGTAGTCTAATATATTGTGAGGTACAATATTTGCCATTTTAATGCCTTTGGGCAAGTTTTTACACCTAGGGTTCTTCCTAGGCAGAAGAACTTCCATTTAAACAATGTCAATATTGATGCACTATATGTATCCCTATATAACGGTATGTCCTAAATTTCAGTATTTTGAAGCATACCAAAAATGTTGGCTCTTTCTTTCTTTCTCGGTAGCCTCTTAATGGTTCCACCTCAGTAGTACGTATTTTAGTCTCCATATAACAGTATTCCCATTATTCGGTACTTTGGGGAGTTTGGGTATACTTTCAACCAAATTCGCTATAGTTTGGAAATATACCCTTAATTTATTTAGAATACAAATTAGATAGTTGATCTACTTTTTACGATACCTCCCATATAGCAGCGCCCCTTTTTATTTGATATTTTGGGCACGTTTTAAAATCGAATTGGCTCTAATTTTGTTCTCATTAATTGTCAAATCGCCCTCCCAAAAAATATCCATGGCATATCCCGACGTTTATGAAGGTTCCGAACGATTAAATTTATTTGAAATGTCCACCTCATGGTGGATCTTAAAAAATCGGCCCTGCCAAACTTAACTTCGTTTTTACTTGCTAGACATAAAATATTGTTTATTAAATAACTAAATAATTCCAATTTTAAAAATAACCCCGAATCTCATATTCTAGTACAATTATTTTAAAAATAAACACTCAATTCAATAAAGGTTAAGTCAACAGCATAATAATACAGCCACTTAGGTTCCATAATTTCAAGGGTAGGTATTGATTTCAGGTCTTTTGTCAATAAAAAAGGTCAAAAAGCGAACAATTTACTACTGCCACGAAATGCAACAACTCTAATTCGGAACATAAATTGACCCCATGTTAAATATTGTCTTAGTATTAAGTTTGGGTATCATTCCGCTCGCTTCGGTTTTGGGTTTTATTTACTTCTTAATATTGTTGTTGTTGTTGGCATGTTGTTGTGCTAAACAAGGTTAACAATATTTAAGAAGAACTTTTTGAGCCATGTGCCGTACAAATGTCCATTAATGTTTTACGCTCGAATGAATATTTGCAGCACCAGCAGCAGCAGAAATGGAACTGCAGGATATTAAATTACCTACTTGGTACGCTTTGTCAAGTGGTGGCAAAAAGACCGGCTACGCATAGAACGGTTGTCTTTTCGATATTATTATGAGTATTTAAAATGATATGCTAACAAATTTTGGGTTCGGGTTTGAGTTACAAAGCCGAACATAAAATGGCACGTGCAGTAAAAATAGTTCGTATGGTGTAAACAATAAATGTGGGCTTTCGGAACAAAAACAGAAAATTAAGTCAAGAATTTTGTTGCCAACGAGGTAATGGATGGATTCTTATGAAGTTGTTATTTCTTATGTAAGAGAATGAGATTTTTTCAGATGATTTCGATTTCATTTTACATTGAAACACTTTTAAGGAACATTCCAAACATTTGTTTCTTAACGGCAAATTAAAATTGAAAAGGGTTTTAGGTGACATTTTTTTAATTTACATAAAATTTAATTGAAAGAAATCCTTTGGAAGGTCCTTAAATAATATTATTTATTAAAGAAATCCTGAGAAAGTCCTGGAAAGGTGTTAAAAAATATTCTTTAAAAAATATCGAATGATTTTCAGAGACTTTGGTGTACCATTTACCTAAAATCGGACGAAACTATGTATGAAAATTATATCTAAATCTGAACCGATTTTCACGCAACTTAGCACGCATCATTCTACACTTAATTTAGTACGGTATACCAATATGCATGCCAATCAAAAGATTATCAGGGACTTTGGTGCACCATTTACCTAAAATCGGGTGAAACTATATATGGAAGCTATACCTAATTCTGAATTGATTTTCAGGAAACTTAGCACACGTCATTCTAGACTTAATTCAATACGCTACGCCAAAATTCGTGCAAATTCCTGCAAATCGAAAAATATAAAGTCCCTATGCACCATTTACATAAAATCGGACAAAACTATATATGGAAGCTATATCTAAATCTGAACCGATTTTCACGAAACTTAGCACACATCATTCTGGACTTAATTCAGTACGCTATGCAAAATTTCCTGTAAATCGAAAGATATATAGGGACTTTGGTGCCCCCTTTACCTTAAATCGGACGAAAATATATATGGAAGCTATATATAAATCTGACCCGATTTTCTCGAAACTTGGCACACATCGTTCTAGACTCAATTCAGTATCCTGTACCAAATTTCGTGCATATCGAGTAATATATACGGACTTTGGTGCACAATTTATATAAAATCGGAGAAAACTATATATGGGAGCTATATCTAAATCTGAACCGATTTTCACGAAACTCTGCGCACGTCATTCTGGACCTAATTCAGTACTCTGTACCAAATTTCATCCAAATCGAGATATATATAGTAACTTCAGTACGTTGTGCAAATTTTGTCCCAATCGGCTTAACTTTGGGTCTTTGGTATCCAATTTACCTTAACTCGGCCGAAAATTTGTATGGGAGCTATATCTAAATCTAAACCGATTTTGACGAAACTTATCTCACATCATTCTAGGCCTAATTCAGTACTCCGTGCCAAATTTCGTGTAAATCGAAAGGTATATAGGGACTTTTATGTACTTTTTACCTTAAATCGGACGAAAATATATATCTAAAACTGAACCGATTTTCACGAAACTTAGCACACATCACTCTAAGCTTAATTCAGTAGGCTTTGCCAAATATCGCGCAAAGCGAAAGATATACGGTGTCTTTGGTGCACCATTTACATTAAATCGGACGAAAATATATATGGGAGCTATATATAAATCTGAACCGATTTTCAGGAAACTTAGCACACATCATTCTAGGCCTATGTCAGTACGCTGTGCCAAATTTCGTGCAAATCGAAAGATATATAGGGACTTTGCTGCACCATTTACCTTAAATCGGACGAAAATATATATGGGAGCTACATCTTAATCTGAACCGATTTTTCCCAATTTCAATAGGGTTCGTCCTTGGGCCAAATAAATGAGCTGTGCCAAATTTCATCCAATTTGAATCATTAATGCGACCTGTAATTTGTTATACCCTACATAATTATGTTGTCAGGGTATTATAGCTTTGTGCAGCCCCAAAAGTTTGTAACGCCGCAAAATATTGCTCCTAAACCCACCTTTATATATACAGATCGTCATATCGGGACTAGCTGAGTCGATCTAGACATGTTTGTCCGTCCGTCCCTCCGTCCGTCCGTCTGTCCATTATAATTTGTAAACACGATACAGGCCACAGTTATGGACCAATCTTCACGAAATTTTGCATGTACGATGGGTTCTGGCCAATGAAGACCCGCATTGTTTTTGGGAAAGATCGGTTAATATTTAGGGGATGAAATGGACCAAATACTAAATTTTTGTCGGGTTTTCTGGTCACTCCAGAGGCCGCAATAATGGCCCGAACATCGTGAAATTTTGCATGGAGAAGGGGATTGGGCCAAAGAATAAGCATGCCTGTTTCGATAAAGATCGGTCAATATTTAGCGGGTCAAATGGACCCTGACTTTTGTGTGAAAAATGACAAAATTTGTATTCTATAGCGTATTTACCCCTGAAGGACATTTACCCGAGAAGTTGATATTATATCCAAGAGGAGTGGTTGACCTTTATATTAATACCAATTATATTGTTGTATGTGCTCGGATGTGGGAGTTACACCTAAATATTTACAGGTATCTCCGTATTCGTATGTTATGTAGTAACCAATTATCTCTCTAGAGAGCGGAACTATAGCGCTGATCGCTTTGAAATTTTCCATGAGGTTCCAGTTATGGTTAAGGACAACGCCTATAATTTTCGGTGATGATCAGATAATAATTTTGGAATGAAGTGAACCGAAAACTTATTTTTTTGTATTATTTTAAAGGGAATCTGAACAACAGCTGTACTGAATACTCGTAATATTCGGAAATATGTCAGTGTAAGGAAGGAGTGCTGTTTACCTCTAATCAGGAAATGGGTTGCAAATATCACGAAATATTACCCAGACTCAGTATAAACATCCGCAGAAAATTTGAGTTCCGTTGTAGCTGTGTAGGGTATCGTATGGTCGGCCCCGTCCGACTATACTGCTCTGCTCACTGGTTTACAATTTAATATGGTCAGACATACAGTTATTATTTCTTGTAAAATATTTTTTCTAATTATCCACACCTCTGTAGAACTTTGAAAAAATATTTTTTTATTCTAGTCTGGTGTTCCGTTCATTTAAAATCACTTTCATATTCAGTTTTTAAATTTTGAAAAAACTTCTATAGAATTTTTAACATATTTTATAAATATATTTTTATAAAAAGAAGAAACCCGAATCCATTTTCTCTCAACTACTATCTCAACAAAAAACGTAATGGTACGCCAAAGATCTCGCCGCACAATTGAAGAAGTCTATGGAACAAAATTTGAGACACCAAAACCCTCATCTGCCAATAATGCCAAAAATCCCGGATATCAAACCAATGTCCATGATCATGGTTATATTATTAATTCAAATACTCCCTATTATACGACTCCGGCTCTAGCCGCCCCACAATCCTCTCTAACCAGTAATGGGGCATTAAATACTTCGAGACGTAAAACCACAGCAACAACAACAACGGCTCGTAATAATGGAAAGCTGCCAACTGGTGGTGGTACATCCCACAAGACTGGTAGTAGCAAAGAAAAAGAGGATATTAGTAAGGATTTTAACACTACGAAAATGAAAACATCTCGTGCTGGTCATGAAATTGGCCATGAGAAGTCTTCATATGTTGGGACTGGTGTCAATCAATATCATGACAATAAGACCTATAGGCCGTATAATGAACTTAACAAGGAGTATCGTAATGTGACGACAGGCAGTCATCAACAGCAACACCACCATCATAATCATCAGCCTGCCAATCAACAACAGCATCATCCCCATCACCATCATCAGCAGGATGAGGATAAGGACGATGATACAGAGGAGTTTTTCCAACTTATCCGGCAAACAGTGGAGAATGCTATTGGGGTATGTGGGTCAATAGATATTACATTGAATATTATTGTGTGTATGTATGTGTGCTTTATCATTTTCTTTTTAGAAATCCATTTCGGAATTATTGAATCGTAATTTCCGTGAACTGAGTTCAAAGATTGACCGCTTTCAAGGGGAATTGAAGAACACCAATGATCAACTGAAGAAGATACATATGGAGTTGAGTAATAGTAAGTACGGGTGCCGGAAACCTGAATAATTTTTAAAGGAATATTTTTTCAAAGACCCACAGCCAAATAGGCGTGAATTTTTAAAAAAATATATTTTCAAGGACCCACAGCCAAATAGGCGTGGATTTTTAAAAGAATATTCCTTCAAAGACCCACAGCCAAATAGGCGTGGATTTTTAAAAGAATATTTTTTTTCAAAGACCCACAGCCAAATAGGCGTGGATTTTTAAAAGAATATTTTTTTCAAAGACCCACAGCCAAATAGGCGTGGATTTTTAAAAGAATATTTTTTTCAAAGACCCACAGCCAAATAGGCGTGGATTTTTAAAAGAATATTTTTTCAAGGACTCACAGACCAATAGACGTGGAGTTTTAAAATAATATTTTTTCAAGGACCCACAGACCAATAGACGTGGAGTTTTAAAATAATATTTTTTCAAGGACCCACAGACCAATAGACGTGGAGTTTTAAAATAATATTTTTTCAAGGACCCACAGACCAATAGACGTGGAGTTTAAAAAAAAATAATTTTTTATGGATCCACAACGTTGTATTCAGGCCTTCAGCCGGACCTTCAATGGTCTGCCCTAGTATTTTTTATACAGTATAGTAATTTATTTTCCCCCTTTCCAGAAATTGTTCACTATGGCGAAGAGAATTCTCGCCACTTTCGTTACCTTTGCATGAAATCGGAATATGACAAAATGTTCTATCAGCATCAGACAATGATGTCGGCAACTGCCCTGCCATCGAATAACCATTCAACGAAACACAATAAACGTATGAGTCCACGTCAATCAAAGCCCTCACCAAATCAAAGTCCAACTTCTTCAGAAAATGATGTCCTACTAGCTCCCTGTACGTGTCGTAGTACCATGAATAATAAAACTCCGCAAAAAATCTCCACAAAGGATCCACAAAAATCCTTATCAAATGAACGAACCGCATCTGACATTTGTGAAAAGTCGTCAGATGTTGGCTTGCGTGAAATTCTCGATCAGTTGCAAAGATTTTTCATGGAAATGAAGGAGTTAAAACAATGTCCCAACACTTCGACTCGAGGGAATTCGGATATGACGTTAAGAAATTATAACTCGGGTGGCAGTACTGCTAACGGTGCTGCTGTTGGTACGGGTGCCGCTGCGGATGTTATGGCCAGTTATCGTCGCGAAAAGGCTATACGCATAAACAAGGAACTATTTCACGGCGGCTTTGACGATGATGATTTTGAAATGAGTTCGGATAGTATATCACCTCGTAGTGTTGACAATTTAGACATTCCTCAACAATATGGCGGTATGACTGTAAGGACTTCAAGTACAACAAGGACGCAGCATATGTCTGGAGGTGGTGGAGGAGATGGTGGTGATGCTTCGTAAACTTAGAATAACGGCGTGAACATGCATGTTGTGATTTCAAAACAAAATTTTAAAATTGTATACTATTCAGTGCCGATATTTCCACATGTACAAATATAGATATTTCGAAACAAAAATTGATTGGCCTTTCGAATTTGAATTTGAAAACAAGGTTCTTTCTGAAGGGCTCCTGGATTTGTAAGGATAACAATATTTTTTTTCAAGAATAATCCTAGAATTTGTTAAGGCCTGGATTTCTTAAATTATAATTTTAAGGGCCTTCCCAAGGCGTGCATTTATTAAAGAATATTTTTAAGGTCCCTCCGAAGGCCTGGATTTATTAAAGAATGTTTTAAGGCCTTTCTCAAGGCATGAATTTATTAAATAATATTTTTAAAGACCTTACCAAAGCGTGAATTTCCTAATTTCGAAGAATTTTTTCCAATGACCAGCCAAGGCGTGGATTTTTTAAAAAAAAATATTTTTTCAATGACCACCCAAGGCGTGGATTTTTTAAAAAAATATTTTTTCAATGACCACCCAAGGCGTGGATTTTTTAAAAAATATTTTTTCAATGACCACCCAAGGCGTGGATTTTTTAAAAAATATTTTTTCAATGACCACCCAAGGCGTGGATTTTTTAAAAAATATTTTTTTCAATGACCACCCAAGGCGTGGATTTTTTAAAAAAATATTTTTTCAATGACCACCCAAGGCGTGGATTTTTTAAAAAAATATTTTTTCAATGACCACCCAAGGCGTGGATTTTTTAAAAAATATTTTTTCAATGACCACCCAAGGCGTGGATTTTTTAAAAAATATTTTTTCAATGACAACCTGTTGAATTGAGCGAAGTTGATTCACCAACTCTGAATGCAACTATGTATAACTTATGTTCCT